CCTGCTGAGCTCCTCTCTCTCCTCTGAGGCTCAGCTCAGGTGCCACCTCCCCCAGAGAGCCCTCCCTGACTGCCAGCCCTTTGAGGATGCCACTGGCATCCTGTGTGCGTGCCTCACTCAGCACAATCCTCTCCAGCTGTTTCCAGATGTGCCCACTGAGCCAGCAGCTCCTGGAGAACAGGGCCAGTCTTTAGCACCTGTAGGGCCCCTCCCCTCACAGCCAGGCGTGGCTGCCCTTGTAGGGTGAATGGTAAGCAGCCCAAGGCAGGAGTGTTGCAAGATTGGGGGCCTCCCGCGATGCCCATACCTCTCCTCGTGCACAGATGGGGCCCCTGCAGCTCCTTTCCCCCCTTTCCAGGAGCAGCAGCCCCTGCCACTCACTCACCCCGCCGTGGCCCTGGGACAGTGCCACCTGGCATGCTTCCGACTCCTGGATCAGCGGCTCTGTGGCCAGCAGCTGCTGTACCTGGGCCCTGGGCACGGCATCCAGGCGCACCAGGCCGAGCAGCTCGGGCAGGTGGGTGGCCCGGGCCTGCGGGTCATGGCGGATCCAGCGCAGCAAGGCCTCCAGCCGGCTCTGCTCGGGCTGCACCTGCAGCAGGTCGCTGGCCAGACAGGCAGCCAGCCGGTTGCAGGAACTCATCCTCACGTGCCACGGCCTCGAAGTTCTCCCGCAGGAAGGCCCAGGCCTTGGCGGCCACGCCCAGCAGCCCCTGCTGCTCCCCGAACTCGCAGATGCCCAGGCAGTTGGCGGCGTCCAGCTGCTGCTGTAAGTAGCGGCCGCAGACCTTCTGCACGGCAGGGAAGTGCAGGCGCGCGGCCGTGCGCGTCAGCGCCTCCACGTTGCCCTGGGTGATGGTCAGCCGGCCCGTGTACACGAAGTCCACCAGCTGCCCCACCACGGCCGGCTCCACGTCCCGCAGCTCCACGCGTGCAGAGAAGCTCTCGGCAAAGTCGCCGGCGAACATGGCATGGAAGTAGGGGCTGCTGAGCGCCAGGAGCCCGCGGTGGCAGGGTAGCTCCCGGCCGCCCACCAGCAGGGTGACGTCGGCCAGCATGGGCTGGGAGCGTGCCGTCCAGCATGTCCTGGGCGTGCGTGGGCAGGTGGAAGTCCAGGTCGTCCACGTTGCGCACCATTTCAGCAGCGCCCACGAGCAGCCAGTGGCCGCCCAATCCCAGGGAAGAAGAACCTGGCGCCCTCCTGGGCTTCTGGGAGAGCAGAGGGCGGGGCCACTGAGGGGCTGGTCTTGCCACCCAGGACCCTCTCTGTCTAACCGCCTGCCTGCAGCCCTCCCCATCTCTCCACAGACATGGCTGTTTCCATTTTGTGGTGAAAAACCTGAGGCTTAGGGAGGGCAGGAGGCAGCCAGGGCAGGACAGGCCGGCAGAAGAACCCACGCCCGGGCCTTGTGCAGGACCCGGCCACACAGACATGCCCGAGCATGGGGCCTTGCAGTGCTCACACGTCCCAGAGGCTTCCCCATCCCACCTCCTCCATGCTGTGGAACCTGTGGGTGGCCATGGGTGGGTCCTGCCCCACCTGGTCCCCAGTTCCCTCATCTGCCAATGGAGAGGCTGGTGGTGAGAGCAGCTCAAGTCATCACTCCTGCCCAGGCAACTCCCTGCAGACCAAGTGAGGCCCGAGCCTTGCCCACCAAGCGCTGCCCAACCGGTGATCGCTCAGCCTGCCTGGGTCCCGTTTCCACCTGGGGGACTGAGTACAAAAGGCTTGAGCCACTTGCCCAAGATCACTCAGCTGGGAAGTAGTGGAGATGGGATTTGAACTCAGAGCCAGGCTTGGGGGCCCTTTTATGCCTGGCTGAGGGAGTCATGAAGACGAACACCCAAAGGCAATTTTCTGCAGGAAACTCTCACGTCCGATCAGCAACCAGACCAGTAAACCCATGTGGGTTTGTGCTCTCACCCCAAGGACACTGTCCCAGAAAGAATCCGGGGGCCAGAGGGTGGCATCGCAGCACCGCGCTGCCCACAGGGCTGCCCAAGGGCGTTCGGGGCTCCCGGCCTGGCCTGAGCACGCTGAGCACCCATGTGCCTGCACTGGGCTGGCCGGAGCTCGGTGGGTGGCAGCACTGTCTCTCTGTCCTTGTTCATGGAATAAATACACTTAGCAGAACAGTAAAGAGAAACAAGGGAAATTGATTTAGGAAAAAAAAAAAAAAGAAAATGCAGGAGCTAAGTTCTTCTGGAGTCACCCCCAACAGCACAACTCGGCGGACACAGAAGTGGTCGTCCACTAGGGGGCGACTCTCGGGCCGTCAAAGCGCTGCCTGGGCAAAGGGCTGGCGACCCCACAGAGCCCATCTAGAGACCTGGCAAAGGACAAGGCCCCAAAGAGGGACTCACCTTGGCTCAGGGCGGTGAGGGCGCAGGGTGGCGTGGGCGCGGGCGCAAGGCTTGTCCCCTCCCGGCCCACTGGACCCGGGTCCCATCCTGCAGGGCTGGGAAGTAGCAGGGAGCCCGTTTGGGGCTTTCCAAGAACCAGCCTGGCTCACGTCCAGATGGACAGCCCAGAGGCCCCCTGCCCCAGCCCCGGGCCACTGTCCATCGCTGCTGACCCCTGCCCAGGGAGGGCTCTGGCAGGGTGAAGGCAGCTCTGCGCTCCTGCGGGGACTAGCTGGGCCTGTGTGAGACGCGGTGCCGGCCACCACCACGGGCCTCACATTCCGGTCATTGCTGGGCTCCCTTGGGCCAGCTGCTGCGGTGGCGAGCGCAGGGGCCTGGGCAAGAAAGCCAGTACGTTTCAGGGCCTCAGGGGTGTCTGCTGACACCTCTGTTCTGCACCCCTGCATGGCTGGGGGCTTTTGAAGGGTCTCCGTGCGTCACTCCAGAGAACGCCCAGGCCAGCAGTGAGGAGGGTGGGCAGACAGGACGCGAAGGTCGTGGCCCAGCTCAGCCGGCTGGCTGGTGTGGTCCGGCTCAGTGCCAGGGTGGTCTGGTCTCCCCCGCCCACGTCCACAGCCAGGATAGCGAGGGGGACATTTCTGCTGAAGCCCCCTACCCCAAAGAACCTGACTCGGGGCTCCCTCCAAACCTGGCTACGATCCCCATGGCTGTGGCTGCCGGAGCAGGCTGCTCCCCTGCTCCTGCCCTGGGTCCCCCTGCTCTCCCCTCCAGGGACCCCAGTCCCCCCTACCAGTCCTACCTCTCGGTTGGCCCCTGCACTGGTAGCTGAGAACACACACGAGGCCGGGATTGCCGAGACACAGCTCAGACGCGGAGGGCCTGCGGGACGGCCGGGCTGGGCGGCCACGTGGGGCCAGGTCTATTTTGAGCCCCTGTCTGTGCCAGGAAGGGGGATGGGAGGAGGGAGCGGGTGATGGCTCCTCGGGGGCTGTCCACTCAGAAAGCCCACGCTGGCTGTGTTGCTCAGAGAGGCCTGGGCCTCTATGTGATCTGTGGGAGAGGACAGACAGCAGGGAGTGTCCAGGGGACAGACAGCTTCAGCTACTCAAGGGGTGCTGGGCTGATTTGGGGGGGCAGCTTCCAACCTCCGTCTGATCTGCATGATGGGGACACTGGGGGCCTGTGCTGGAGACTTGGGGTCACAGAGAGCCCTAGCCAGGGTCTGGATTTTGGGCGCTGGTGGGGCGGGCCTCACTGTTGTCACTGCCAGTACTGGGGTAGTCTCTGGCTCTTCTGTCAACTGGGAAAAGGCAAGGTGTGAGCACAGGTCCACCGAGGTCGGGGTGGTGCCGGACACCAAGCGGGGGGTTCCGGACGGCACTTATGCTAATGGGCAGAGCAAAGCCCCTAGACGCACGGCTTCAGGGGCACAGAGAGGAGCCCTCGGTCCTCAGCTGGAACCAGGGAGGGGCCTGCCTGGGGGCCACTCCTCTTAGGTGAGCCTAGCCCAGCCCGAGCCCAGTCATGCCCCAGCAGAGCCCGGCCATGCCCACCCTGCCCAGCCCCAGGCCTTGCCTCCCTCCCCCCTCCCCGTGCTGTCCCAGGACTGCTGTGTCCTGGCCTTGGTCATCTCCTCATGTGGGGAGGGGGCCGGTCATGGATGTCCCCCCCACTGCATCCAGGACCATCGTGGGGTGGGGGCTGGAGGACAAACGGGTACCGGGTCTGCCACTGTGCCCGTGTGCAGGAGCGCGAGGGGTCAGCACGCTCCTGGCTCGGGCCGGAGGGAACGAGGACGGGGGTTCTGGTGACAGGCGGCTGTCCTGGGAGCTGGCTCTGCTTGGCACAGCGTGCTTGGCCTCACAGACCTGGGGACCGAGACCCAGAGCCTCGGGTAATAGGCCAGTCTGGGAAACTCAACACCAGGGGCTCAAAACGTATCCTCGTCAACAGGCTGCTAGCGAGTGGTGCAGTTTTTAAAAATACTCTGGTTGCTTCTTTTTATGATGATAAAAATAGCATGTTCTTTTTGGAAAGCAGAAAATTAGAAACCAGAAGACCACACCAGGAAAGGCAGCTGCCGTTGGTTATCACGCCGGCCCGGCCAGCGTCGCGGCACGAGTGTGTCCTGTCGCTCGACGTCCTCGCGTGGGTACTGCTGAGCGGGCCGTGTTTGAATACACGGCTGTGAGATTCGTCTCCATCACGGGGTGTTTCCCTCTCAAGAGGGAGTGACCTCGGTCACGTCTGCTAAGGACCTGCAGACTGCTTTCCTGGACCGTCATCACCAGGTGGCGTCCCCGGGTGACTGTTTCCGGGACGGACTGAGTGGGAAGGCACCTTGGCGACATGCATTTTGCAGACCTCATGTCAACGTGTGGCGCGCTCAGGCCTTGGTCGGGGTGAGCCCAGTCCTGAGAAACGGTGGTCTCCATCTCCGCCCTGCACGGTTACGGGCCGGGCCGCGGGCTCTTCCCCCTGCAGCTCCAGACTCACCGGGAAGCCCTGGTCTAGCATCGGGGTCTGGCCACCGGCCACTTCCCCAAGTTTGCAGCCTCCAGACTCCAGGCCCTCAGGGAAGTTTTTTGCCACGGAGACACAGGCACCGAAGGGGCCTTACGGTGGTGGGGGTGGCCTTGCCAGTCCATCTGCTTCATCCAGGTGAGGCATGAGTGGGCCTGGGGATCAGAAGCCCCTGGGATATCTTTCAGGTCACATTCCTAGCCCACCTCAGGGCGAGGACCAGAATCCTGGGGGGCACGCAGAAGCAGGGTGTCTGCAGGACATGTGGAGTCACCCCTGAGCACCCCGAGAGCTTCCCTCTTCCTTCCAGAGAGGAGGCTGGATGTGAGCTACTCCCTCACCCTCACCTGGCAGCCCCCCCCAGGTCCTCCTGAAACCTGGGTGCTTGTGGGGCGCCCCCTGCTGGGCTCCCTCTGGAGACAGCCAGTAGCCAAACGTGAACTGCACTGACCGCTGCCCGCAGAGCTGCCCTCCGGCAGCAGCAGACCGGGTGGACAGGCCTTGGTCATCTCCCTTGGCCGCATGTCGGGTGCAGACCCAGGGCCATGAGGACCGACGAGCCGTCCTGATGCTCGGCCTGAAGTCATGCCCTGCTCCTTAGACCTGCGTGAAATACTGACCCAGGCTGGCTTGTGTCTGAGCGATGACCCAGGAGAGAGCCCACCACCCAGGACCTTGGCCAGCCCTTGCCATGACGCCTAGCGGGGGCAGCTCAGCACCGCCTTCCCTCTTGTTTTCCTTTCTGAGAGAGAGAGTGTGTGCAGGGGAGAGACAAAGACAGGTTTTCTTGGCAGGGTCTTGCTGGGTCATGTCCTCATGCCCCAGCCTACCAGTCAGCCAGGACTGTAGGTGGGCCAGCCACGCCAGCGTGTCAGGTCGCCTCCCAGGTGCTCCCGGCGCACCTGTGTTGCTATATTGTGGATGAGAAGCCAGAGGCTCAGCAGGGCCAGGACTGTCCCCCGCTGTCTCAGCAGGGCCGAGATGAGCACCTGTCCGCCTGTGGGAGCTCTCCCAGGGGCTGGTGAACGGCGAGCACAGGCCAGCCAGGACGGGTTTTTTTAGCAAGTGCGTCCAGTCTCAGGGCTGCAGTGGGGTGGCGCAGGGGTGTCAGCTCTGCTGCAGGGCTGCAGCAGGAGGCGCAGGTGTCTCGGGTCTGCTGCAGTGCTGCAGTGGGGTGGCGCAGGGGTGTCAGCTCTGCTGCAGGGCTGCAGTGGGGAGGCATAGGTGTCTCAGGTCAGCTGCAGCGGTCTCTGGCCTGCTGCAGGCTGCAGCAGGGGAGGAATCTGGGTGGGGTGAGTATGCCTCATCCAGCCCAGAGCAGACTGGGAGAAGGCCACTGGCTGACATTGGCCTGGGACTGGGGACAGTGACAAGGGGCACGGGGACACAGACTCTGGACATGGCCAGGGTCACTAGTACTCGAGAAGCTGAGGTCCGGGACACCCAGACCCTGGGAGCCCTGGCAGGAGGCAAGCAGGAAACAGGCCAGGTGGAGAGGCTGGGAAGGCAAGCGCCTTATTTGAGGCTGGCTGAGAGGGCATCGTGCGTTTGTGGTGAGTTCCTGCCCGGAGAAGCAGCCACGGATGGAGAGCAACCCGGTCAGGGGTCCAGCCCTGCCTGCTCACCCAGCCACCCGGGGCAGGGCAAGAGAAGGAAGAGGAACCCATGCGCGATCTGGCGGGCTGCACCGCGGCTCTCCAGGCCCGGCTCCAGGAGGGCTGTCACTCCCCCAGGCTGAACATCTCGGCCTCCTTCTCCTTCCAGAAGGCAAAGCTCCTGTCGATGTAGGCACAGATGTCCTCACTGTTGAAGCTGCCCCGCTGGGAGCCTGGCCCGGGGCTGCTGCTGGGGACTGAGGCCTGTGGCAGGGACCCCAGAGGGGTCAGGCCTGACTTACGGCCAGGCTCTGGGTCCCAGGCAGGCCCGGGGCTGGAGCCGAAGAAGCGGGCCTTGATGTCCTCGAAGCCGTCGGTCCAGGCGCGGCGGCCTGCGGCCACCTCATCCGTCACCGCCTTGTGGAAGGCTCGCACCGCCTCCCAGCCATGGGTGCCCAGGTGCTCGAAGACCTCGAAGCAGAGCAGGTGCCGCGCCCTGCGCTCCTCGGCCGGCAGGTGGCACTCCAGCAGCTGGAAGTAGCCCAGCATGAACAGATC